TATATATATGACTTGTGCAAGTGTATTATATTGTAAATATTTATATTTTCTATTAATTTTAAAATGCATGAAGTAAATATCTGTTTATATTTAATAAGTTCCATAATACAGATATTTAACTAAGCCAAATGCTTAGCGCGTCGGTCGCGCGCAGTTAGTAGCGGTTCTTGCTAGCAAAGTGGAAGAGTTTATGTTTTTAAAAGGCCTAATTTCGCACTTTTGAAAGTATTTAAAGTAAATTAAAATATATTTATATTGATATATTTGCTTTTGGGAGAGTATTACAATGTATCACAGCAGCACTGATGAGGTAACAACGAGCGGGGACGTCGTCCGTGAAAGTGGACAAAAACGGAGTTTGTCCAGCAGCAGAGGACTGGACGAAAGCACCGCTTCCTCGGGTTCCAACTGCCTTTCTTCTGCTCTGTCACGGCAAAGCTCAGATGGGAGCAGCTCCAAATTAAGCCATGATGGTCCATCACTACCAGGAATGAACTCAGGTGAATGTGGACAACAGGCAGTTTAACTTTATGTGACAAGTGTAGGAAAACACAAGCATCGACGAWATGAGTACCCATCTCTAATTTTACCATACCACTTTTATTTATAAAGCACTTTAAACAGCACAAAGCTAACCAAAGTGCTGTACAGTAAACATACAACAGGACATAGTCAAAATACAGATAAAAAAATATGAAGCATTTATATTTACAGTACACATAGAACAGAGTTATGATACATGGTGAGGTTTTGCAGGTTAATTTTGTTCTAATCGTTATAGTAGTGAGGTCAAATATTTGTTTTACGTTGATCTTGGCTTCATTGTGACAATTTGTCTGTATGTAGGTCAGTGTCACAACAGCTCCAGGATTGGGATGACGCCATCATCAGTCCTCATGTCCACCTCAGACAGCTCCTCTCTTCTCTGCAACAGAGAAACACCAAGATTCAGAAGAACTCCAGGGTCTGCCGGGGCCACAGGTSCTCACCTTGCACAGTCATCACTGAAAACTGAATCTTCATACTCACTCATTTCCATTTCTGTGTTTCTCATACAGAGTAAACCCTTTGTTTCCACAGGAACAAGTAGCTCCTCTGGGTCCATAACCTCTGGTGCCTCAGTGATCGTAGCGGTGGTTGAAGGACGTGGTTTGGCGAGAGGAGAGATAGGCATGGCCAGTTTCAATCTGAAAAGTCCAGAGCTTGTACTTTCTCAGTTTGCAGATGCAGGAACATATGCCAAGGTAATCTATCTATTCCCTTCAGGCTAACACTGATACATGAGAAGAACCGGTGGGAGCACGTCTCCATATTTTCTTTTCTTTTTTTATGCAGGTTATAACCAAGATTCACATCTTGATGCCAGTGGAAATACTGATGCCAGACACAGCCAGCGAGAAGGGGAAAGGAACTAAACTGTACAAGCTGATCACTGAGAACTTCCCAGTATGAATATGCTTTATTATGAAATCATGTTTCACTCATGTTTTGTTGCACAGCTGTGAATTATGTTGTAATATCTCATTGATGAAGACATATTATAGGATGATACAATTTATAGTTTTTTAAATATTGCTCAGTGCGTAACTTTTACTGCAATCCAACGGAAGTACTTTAATGAGAAGAAGGGACTGGAGTACATTCAGCAGCTTTGTGCTCCGGAGTTTAACACTGTCCTCATGGAAGTGCAAGCAAAGTAAGTTATTATATTCACTGAGGCACAAAATACGCAAATGCTATTCTTTTTAAACTACCCGATATTATTATTGTCTATTTAGGTACTATTGCCTAGCATCCGCAGCTGCTTTGCTGAAATACCTAGAATTTCTACAGAACTCTGTTTATGCTTCTAAGTCACTTAAAGTGAGCTTTAAAGGGAGTGAGCAGACAGCTATGATTGACTCGGCATCTGCCACTAACTTGGAGTTGGTGGTTAATAACAGAGATCACAGGTAGGAACAAGTCTGTGTTTTTTAAAATTATTTATTTAAAGGAGTTGTTGTATATTTCATTTTGCGTATGTCTTTGCTTGTCTCATAAAGGAGTGAGCATACTCTTTTAGGGGTACTCAATCACACGAAAACTCCCGGCGGAGCCAGGAGACTGCGCTCTAATATTCTGGAGCCTCTGGTGGACGTGGACACCATCAACATGCGCTTGGATGCCATTCAAGAGCTGCTGCTAAAGGAGGAGCTTTTCTTTGGGCTGAAAAATGGTAAGGAGCCAAAATGAAACAGCTTTTTTATAGCAATCAATTTGGCATGTTAATGGTGTATGACACAGTATTTGCATTTTYTCTCTCTCCTTTTTAGCTGTAAGTCATTTCCTTGACATTGACCGGCTGCTTTCTGTTCTTGTCCAAATTCCAAAGCAGGAAACGGTGAGGATAGCAGTTTTATTACTTTTATTTAGGTACATGTTGCACATGTACCTAAATATCAATATCATCACCTATTCTTATATCATCTAATGATATCTGATGGGACCTTTGCATCAGTCATACTGTTTTTAGCTTCAGAGTTGTTATTTCCATTACAGTTTTATTTCTACTTACACTGTTGTTATTTCTATTTTAACTGCATAGACCAGGGTTCTGCAACTTTCATGATCAAAAGAGCCATTTCTGCTCCTTGGCTCACTAATAAAATGCGTCCAGAGCCGCAAAAATGCTACAACTGTGATTATCAACTGCTGGTCCATGGGCCTTTTTGAGGCCTTTTCAGGAACTTTTATGGCCAGTGGAGGTGATGTTATAAAACTAAAAAATAAATTGTCATTTTGATTACTTATTACTATTTTTACACATCGGGACAAATGAAAAGACCATATTCATGTA